TTGAAATGCCTTGTACGTGAGGTGACGAGTGCTTACTTGTGCTAATTGTTGGAAATCCGGTGTTTCATTAAAAATAGCCTTAAATTGTGTTCTTCCTTTTTCTTGCTTACACTGTTTGGAATTTAAGCCTCCTGTTAGTCTAGAGAAGCATGTCTAATTGACTAAATTGTTGTATTTTCTTTAATTGCCTTATTTGTATTACGTGAAGCATGCTAGCTTAGAATTATCTGTTTTGCCTTGGTATGAAGTTAAGCTTAATTGAGTATTCCTTTTTGCTATTATTGTACGTTTTATTTTGGGACTACGGGAAGGCATCCCGGGAGATCCCCTGTACGTATTTATGACCCAGCTGAGATCCTCGGGATACCGAGAGATCCCTGGCAAGTATATTGAGGATACTAAGAGATCATCGGGATACCGAGAGATCCCTGGCATATATTGAGGATACCAAGAGATCCTCGGGATACCAAGAGATCCCCGGGTATATACTGAGGATACTAAGAGATCCTCGGGATACTCAGAGATCCCCGGTTATCATCCTCGAGATTGTTTTGACTTTGTATCAGTTGTAATTATCTTTATATCCTGTGATGCTTTTACTGCTGCACTTATTTATACTGCTCTGTCAAACTTTATATTATTATTTAACCTCAGTAGGGCCCTGACCTTCCTCGTCACTACCCGACCGAGGTTAGGCTTGGCACTTACTAAGTGACGCTGTGGTATACTCATGTCCTTCCTGCGCATGTTTTTTTTCATGTGCAGATCCAGGTACCTCTACTCAGACTTACCATCCTTGAGGTGAGGCGATCTTTCGGAGACTTTGAAGTATATCTGCCGCGTCCACAGACCGAAGAGTCTCTCTCCATTCTCTCTTGTAGTGATTAGCCATTCTATCTTTACTGTTGATGTAGACTTTCCGAAGTTAGAGCATTTTACTATATTCGTAGCTTGTGATTCATGGGTTTCCGGGTTTTGGGAATATGTATTAGTTTTGAGAGTTAACGTTATGTATGTCGAGCGGCAGTCTTAAACGTTGTTTATTTACTCTATCTCGGTTTTAACTTATTTTTCTTCCACAAATTTGGTTTATTTCCGCATTTTAGGCTTACCTAGTCGTAGGGATTAGGTGTCGTCACGATACTTCACGGAGGGCGAACCGGGGTCGTAACAGAACTGTCAACTCGTGTACTCTAATTAACGGAATCCTCGCATGCGTCTACTGCTATCTCTGTAAAAATAATAGCGGGAAATGAGTCGCTAGCTTAGTCAGTAATAATACTTAACCACAACCGTTTTAGTAGGGGACAAACCAGAAAATATGCTTGAATAATAATCACATTAAAACGGTAACAATAATCAGTCTCATCATGTATTTTCTGTAACAAAATCAATTTAATAATTCAGAAATAAATTTGGTAAATAATGTGTCATAAAAAATCTTTATCACAATGTGGACCCCTTCGTAAAAGGAGTCAAATATAACTGTAGGTCACTACTGAAGGGAAAATTGTAATTGTATGCAAGTTCTACCTTCCCACTAGATGAGGCTATAATTATACTCGGTAATCGATAAATACAAGGTGTACCAAGTCTAACAAACCCGCTGTTAGCTATAGGATCTTTCAAAGTCTCCTCCTATTAATACTTTTCTTTTAAACAGTAAATCTTCACATGGAAGCAATTTCAAAACAGTACAGGACATTCAATTTTTATCAAATCATGTAATCCAATTTCGGTAACAGTAATCATATCTTTAGTAATAGTAAAACATGTCTAGTAACAGTGATAATATTTTAAATAACTGTAAACATCTCAAGTAAATTATTCATTACCATATCAAGTAAAAGACTTTTTCCACATGCAATTTCAAATATTCAGTAACACATTTCCTTTTAAAAATAATGTATAAACCATGCAGGTTATGATAACACAAATTGCGGTAAGATTACTACTCATAGATTCGTGTCGAAATACCAAACTCGTCGCCTTGAGTGATATGTACAACTTTTTTCAATCAATCTATAATCACATCAATATCAATCTCGTGTTAATTTCTTTGTTTAAGCTAATTCATAAAAAATTCATAATATCAAAGTCTTGAGGTTTTAATGTTTGATTCTCAATTTCTCAAGTTTATTTTGTCCAGGTCACGTGAAAATAGTCCTATACCTCATATTGCTTTAAGCCATATGTACATTCTGAGAGTAAGGAAAGTTACTGTAGAATATGTATTGTTCCAAATTGCTCTTGAAAACACTAAAACATGCTTAAGTATCTTATTACACCACATCTTTATCGAGAATATTTCTAAAATAAATTCTTCACTCAAATATACACTACTAATTCTTTGTCTGTGTGGTATTTAAATAAGCCATTCACAATTTATATAAATTGCTTAATTATTCAAAAGAAAACAAATTAATTAAAGAATATGTCCGCATGAAAAAAAAATAAAGAGTTTAGATATTTATTGGAGTACTCGAAACTCGAAAGTGCTTAGAGTTCAAAAGAGTTATTCAAACGATCCATCCTTGATATTCAAAATTATTTGTGTTAAGCTTTTCTATATTTCCTTCTCTATAGAAAAAAATTCTTTCTCTGTTGGTTTTCTCCAAATCTAAAGCTTCCATGATTGAAGTATATCTTTATTATTTTTGGTTCATATAGCAACTAGTTGGTGGCTTCTCTTTCGGCAGAAGCTTTAGAATACGTGACTCCTTCCCTGAACCCTTTTTCTTTTCTCATTCTAGTGGGCTTTTGCTCAATCTTTTTATCGATTAGGTTTTCCCATTTTTTTTGTTTCTTTCTTTCCTTATTCATTATATTTATTTATTTAAGTGCTTAAAGATCAATATACCCTTATCGAATATGAGGTTCTACATTCTCCCCACCTTATGAAATTCGGTGCTCGGATTTAGTTCTGCTACATACCTGTAGACTAAAATAAATAAGGATACTTGACTCGCATAGCATCTTCCACTTCCCATGTAGCTTCTTTTACTATATGATTTCTCCATAAGACTTTCACGAACACGTTTTCTTTTTACCATAACTTCTTCATTTTTCTATCAACAATAGCCATTGGTTCCTTCTTGTACGATAGCTTCTCATCGAGCGGTATAGTAGGTGCTTGAAGTACCTGAAATGAGTTTGATATACATTTTCTTGGCATTGAGACATGAAACACTGGATGAATAAAAAATAACTCAGGAGAAAGTGTCAAACGATATGCCATAGCTCTCACTTGTTCAAGTATCTCGTACGGACCTATAAACTTCGGGCTCAACTTACTATTTTTTTTTTTGAATCTCATACGCCCTACACAGTAGAGACTCATAAAAATACTTTGTCCCTTAATTGTGAGCACTAAATCTCTTTTTCTCTTATTTGCATAAAACTTTTGTCTGCTTTAAGTTGTGAGCAATCTCTACCTGATCAATTGGACCTTGTCAATAGCTGTATGTACTAAATGTCCCAATAAGTTAGTCTCACCAGCTTCAAACTATCCGATAGGAGAATGACATTTTCTACCATACAATACCTTCGTATGGTGCCATTTAAATACTGGACTAGAAGCTATTATTGTAAGCAAATTCAGCTAAAGGTAGATATATGTTTCAACTACCTACAAACTCAAGAATACAAGCTCTCAACATATCCTCCAGGATCTCTATAGTATGTTAAAATTGCCCATCTAACTACGGGTAAAATGCGGTACTAAGATCTACTTGTGTACCCAATACTTCTTGAAAAGATTTCTAAAAGCGTAAGTGAACTGTGATCCTCTATCGGAGATGCTAGATATTAGAACTCCATAAAGTCAGACAATTTCACTCATATATATATATGTCCATACCTCTCTTCACTATATGTAGTCTTCATCGGGAAAAAGTGTATTGATTTTGCCAGTCGATCTACAATTACCTATACAAGTCATAACACCTAACACTTTGTGGTAGCCTGGTAACAAAATTTATAGTAATCCTTTCCCATCTCAGCTCTGAAATTTCTATTTTAGTAGGCCTACATGTCGTTGATGCTCAGCCTTGACCAGTTGATAAGTCAAATAATTAGAGACAAAGTTAATAATAATCTTTTTTTCATTCCTTTATACTAATAAAATTGCTTTATGTTATGATACATTTTATTGGATACAAGATGTATTGTGTATCTGCATTTGTGAGCTTCCTCAAGAATAATATATCTCAACACATCTACGTTTGATCACTTAACTTTTACCTAATCAAAGAACATCATCATTGTAAACATTTATATCCGTGACTTTTACTTGCTAGGACCTCTTCTTGGCATTTGTATAATTGTTCATCCTTATATTGTATGACCTTGATGTGTTTACCAACGAAGATTTTTCTTAACCACTAGCCAACAATGTCTATGAATTACACGCACAAAATTAAATAATCGTGGCTCGAGTTTGTGCAAATCCTTAGAGACTTATTTTTCTTCCTCGCCATTAGTACCAGTGCATCGCATGGTGATATATGCAGTCCAATAGAATTTCTTATAGAATCTCCTTTGAAGCAGGTCCAACAATTGTCCTTTAACTCTGTTGGTGCATAAGATTTGAGGAATATTAAAATTGACTACACGTCAAGTGCAAAGTCAATACATAACTCTGTTTCTCGTTAAGGGATTGTCCATATAAATCCTTAGGAAATACATCAGTGTGTTTACATTTTCAAAGTTTGTATCTCATCAATTGTGCCTTTTTATTATAACTAGGAAACCTCTATAACTTTTCTTCACTCACCACCAAGCCTTCAAAAATGATATAACTTTGTCCATCCTTGGAACCAGAGACGGACCCAGGATTTAAGCATAACGGGGGCACCATGTCATTAGTATGCCAATCACCAGCAATAAAGTTCGGATGTAACTCTTTGAAATGACTATGATAATTTATCATCAAAATAAAATAATCAATATTATCAAATACCATTAACTTGATACTAATATAACAAAAGTACATTTTTTACTCATAGTTGAACTCGACGCGCATTCATGTTTTGAAAACGGTCAATAATAGCATCATTGCTTATATTTACAAATACTTCCTTCTCAAAGTAACAAACTAAACAATCATTTAAAAATGCATCACTAATACTACTACTCAATTCACATTTGATGTACTTCATGGATGAGAATGCTCTTTCCACCGTTGCAGTTGCGACAGGTAAAGTTAAAGTCAACTTCACAAGCAAATAAATAAGTGAATAAGTCTCCACAAGATTTTCCTCAACCAATACTTTTGCCAAATCACCAATTCCTTTCAAACTAGAGAACCTAGGGTCACCATGTTGCATGTGCCATAAGAAAGTGTCAAGTTGGCGACTAAGATCTCGAAGTTTCAATTCACCAAACTCATCGGGATAATGCTTGTCCAATGTTATTATTCTTTCCTTATCAAAATTAGCAAATGAGTTAGCCAGATTCAAGCTAGCCATACCAAGAAGCAGGTTACTACTCACAACATCAAAATGACTATTAAGCTCCAGAAATTGCAAATCAATCACGGCATAAAAAAGCTCAACACGTAAGTGATGTGAATAAGTAACACTAGAAGGCCTACGCTTCGACTTTCCAGGAATATAGAATTATTCCATCTTAGGCACCAAAATATCATATTTTGCACAAAATAAATATACTTCATCCATCAATGGTTCCCATCCTTTATCTCTCATTTCTTGCAACCTTTCCTTTGTGATATCAAGAAATACCATGGCATTGACAATATCTTGATCTTTCTTCTGTAAAGCTTTGCTCAACTCGTTTGACATTATCAACGCTTTCAACATTAAGTGAAGCAACAAAACAAATTCAAATGCTTTAATTTTACTCAAAAAGCTTCGGCTTGCAACCGATCATTAACATCACCTTCACATTCAATCACCCCAAGCACATGAACAATAGAAGAAAATAAAATAACAAAGTTATCCAATGTTTAAAATGTGATCCCCAACGAGTGTCACCTAGCCTTTGAAGCCCTCGCTCTTGACTTAATCTTTTCCCACTTTGAACTTCACCACTCTCTAACAATTGCTGCAACAGTTCTGCTTGATGACCCCGAAGTTGATCTCTACGCTTAAAAGAAACTCCAATTACATTCAACACATTAGTAACAATAGCAAAGAAAGTCTCTACCTCCTTGTGTTTTTTAGCAATACCTACAAGCGTCAACTGTAATCTATATGCAAAACAATGAACGGAAAATGCCGATGGAGTTTCTTGCAAAATTAATGCTTTAAGACCATTCATCTTTCCCTGCATATTACTATTCCCATCATAGCCTTGTCCACGTATTTTGGATGGATTTAATGAGTGTTTCATTAGCAAAGAAAGTACTGCTTCTTTCAACGACTTTGCAGATGTATCACTAACACGAACAAGACTAATAAATGGCTCGTTCACTTGGCCTTTTTTGTCAACATACCGAAAAGCAAGGGCCATTTGTTCATGATGTGAGATATCCTTGGACTCATCAACTAATATCCCAAAATAATCTCCGTCCAAGTCATCAATTATAGCTTTCACGATCTCTTGTGCACAAGCACTCACAATATCCTTTTGAATTTTTGGCGAAGTCATCATATCATTTTTTGGAGCATGTTTTAATATAATTCTATCTACATCTAGAAGCAGAGGCGGACCCAGAATTTAAGCATAACGGGGGCACCATTGTCTTTAGTATGCCAATCACCAACGATAAAGTTCGGGTGTAACTCTTTAAAATGACTATGATAATTTATCATCAAAATAAAAACATCATTATTATCAAATACCATTAACTTGATACTAATATAACAAAAGTGCATTGTCCACTCATAGTTGAACTCGACATGCTTCCACGTTTTGAAAACAGTCAATAATAGCATCATATCTTATATTTACAAATACTTCCTTCTCAAAGTAACAAACTAAACAATCATTTAAAAATGCATCACTAATACTACTACGCAATTCATCTTTGATGTACTTCATGTATGAGAACACTCTTTCCACCATTGCAGTTGCGACAGGTAAAATTAAAGTCAACTTCACAAGCAAATAAATAAGTGAATAAGTCTCCACAAGATTTGCCTCAACCAATGCTTTTACCAAATCACCAATTCCTTTCAAACCAGAGAACCTAGGGTCACCATGTTGCATGTGCCATATGAAAGTGTCAAGTTGGCGACTAAGATCTTGAAGCTTCAATTCACCAAACTCATCGGGATAATGCTTGGCCAATGTTATTATTCTTTCCTTATCAAAATTAGCGAATGAGTTAGCCGGATTCAAACTAGCCATACCAAGAAGCAGGTTACTACTCATAACATCAAAACGACTATTAAGCTCCAGAAGTTGCAAATCAATCACGGCATAAAAAAGCTCAACACGTAAGTGAGGTGAATAAGTAACACTAGAAGGCCTACGCTTCGACTTTCCAGGAATATAGAATTCTTCCATCTTAGGCACTAAAATATCATGTTTTGCACAAAATAAATATACTTTATCCATCAATGGTTCCCATCCTTTATCTCTCATTTCTTGCAACCTTTCCTTTGTGTTATCAAGAAATACCATAGCATTGACAATATCTTGATCTTTCTTCCGTAAAGCTTTGCTCAACTCGTTTGACATTATCAACATTTTCAACATTAAGTGAAGCAAGAAAACAAATTTCAAATGCTTCAATTTTACTCAAAAAAGCTTCGGCTTGCAACCTATCATTAACATCACCTTCACATTCAATCACCCCAAGCACATGAACAATAGAAGAAAATAAAATAAAGTTATCCAATGCTTTAAAATGTGATTCCCAACGAGTGAAACCTGGCCTTTGAAGCCCTCGCTCTTGATTTAATCCTTTCCCACTTTCAACTTCACCACTCTCTAACAATTGCTCCAACAATTCTGCTTGATGATCTCGAAGTTGATCTCTACGCTTAAAAGAAACTTCAATTACATTCAACACGTTTGTAACAATAGCAAATAAAGTCTCTACCTCCTTGTGTTTTTTAGCAACAGCTACAAGCGTCAACTGTAATTGATGCGCAAAATAATGAACGGAATATGCCAATGGAGTTTCTTGCAAAATTAAAGCTTTAAGACCATTCATCTTTCCCTGCATATTACAAGCCCAATCATAGCCTTGTCCACGTATTTTGGATGGACTTAATGAGTGTTTCATTAGCAAAGAAAGTACTGCTTCTTTCAACGACTTTGCAGATGTATCACTAACATGAACAAGACTAATAAATGGCTCGTTCACTTGGCCTTTTTTGTCAACATACCGCAAAGCAAGGGCCATTTGTTCATGATTTGAAATATCCTTGGACTTATCAACTAATATCCCAAAATAATCTCCATTCAAGTCATCAATTATAGCTTTCACGGTCTCTTGTGCACAAGCACTCACAATATCCTTTTGAATTTTTGGCGAAGTCATCATATCATTTTTTGGAGCATGTTTTAATATAATTCTATCTACATCTGGAAGTCTATTTCTAAGCCATTCCAAAATCCCTAGAAAAAGGCCTTTGTTTTTTGAAGATTCACTTTCATCGTGACCACGAAAAGACAATCCAAAGTTCAAGAGAAACCTTGCAACATCGATTGAGGCATTTAAACGAATTCGATATTCAGTTTTTTGTTGATCAGATTGCTTCTCAAAATCAGCTTGAATTGATTGAGATTAATTTGACAAGTCTAGCATATTGTTGAAACACTTATGGTGGAGATTATTTACTTCACTAGCATGTAGACCAAGTCTTTCGGTTCCTTTATTCCAAGCCTTAAAGTCGGTTTTTGTGAAAGAGTCACCCGTGCTTCCATGAACGTAATCATTTTTGAATAAATAACAACATAAACAAAATGCGACATCTTTCTTCACACTATACTCTAACCATCTTGAATGCGAACCTTTAAACCAATCCAGATTAAATTGGCGCATTTTCTTCCCAAATAAAGTTTTAGGAAATTTGTGATCAACTGGTTGGCAAAGCCCTCTTTGGATGTAGTGTCTTCTCACTTCATCCGGTATTCTAGAGCTATATCTATCGATGGGTATTCTCTCTCCGGGGTCAGTATTAAGTGATTTCACATCAAACTCCTCTACAAGATGGGAGGAATTGTCTCTAAAACTAGAACTTGGTTGAGATGAATTAAACCTCGTCAAAAATATGTCCATCTCAATTCACGTCAACAGAACTTCCTACAAAGCAACAATGCCAAGCAAAACAACATTTTCAATATGATTAATCACACTCCTTATATTAATACTAAAATAGAAATAACATATAATAGAGGAATCACACCCCTTCCATCTAAAGAGCAACTTCAAAGTTTAATGCAGTTGATTGGGAAACATGATGTATTAATATTGTTATTATTCCTTTCTTAAGTTGTATTAGATGTATCAACATGAGATCGAGCAAATAGGAGCAGGGAATAAATGGACTGGTAATCATTGGTGCTATTCTATATTCCAATTTTCAGCATAGGGGAATCATACCCCCTTATTAAAGATAGAAGGATCACTTACCAATTTCTGAAAGTTATTCTTGAAATCCAAATACAACTTGGTCTCAAATCGTCCACTTCACTTCACTGAAACAATATTTCAAATAGCATTGGCACAAATCTTCAAATACCTATGAAATTAATTTATTAAGATAAAATAATTAGGGATAATTAGGGATATTTTGATTGGAGAAGAACGTAAGTTAATAAATCTGCCCATAAGTCATAATCAATCTGGGTCAATTGCTAATCTAGGTGAAAATCACAAAAATCAAAAAAGTAATATTTGTAAAAAGAAGAAGAACTTACTCAAATAATCAAAGATTTGAAGAAGAGTCTCCCTCACCTAATAAGGGATTGATTCGAATTCAAAGGGATGCAAAGGAATGAAGAAGTGAACGACGGAAAGTCGGAAAGGAAAGTTGAAATTGAAGGGAGGCACCGAGGCAGAGAGGGTTTGTTTTAGAGTTTTAAGACTTTCAGATGGATACTAAGTAATAAAGTAAATAAGTAATTAAATAATCATTCAATTTTAAAAAGTAAAAATAAAATAGTAGGGATCGTAGGACCCAAGATTCGAACCTGGGTCGTCAAGCATAAGAAGGCAGCTACTCCCACAAACCAACTATTCTGTCAAGTCTTTGTGACTGAAGGTGCCGCGTAAAATATTTGGAGGGGTCCTCCCTGTATTAACATATATATATATATTTTTTTTTTTTTTTTTACCGAGGCCAACGGGTGCCGGTGACCCCACACCCCCTAGCGTAGGTCCGCCCCTGCTTGGAACCTGAGCCCTTTGTAGCACATGACTGAGTTAATTGGGTATCTCCAACCTACCCTCAGCTCGAACAAAGACTTGCCTTAAGAATCAATATTTATGTAGAGGAGTTACAGAGGACATATTTATTGCAGAACCAAACAGAATGATTACGGATTAGGAGATTGTGAAATAAAGCTAATTAATAATTCACTAGTATAAATCATAGGTAATTTTTATTTTGGGTTTTCTCACTCAACTCCTAATTTTGAACAAAACCTCTGTCATGATGATTGCTTTGATTAGGAGGTACCAACATCTCCCTTACTATTCTCTAACTACATTGTAAAAGTAGACAAACACAAAATTTATAAAATTACAAACCTGATGTGCTAGATTTGTATATGTGCAGTCTATTATTTAATGGAATGACAATTATGTTAGTTAAGTTTGTTTATCGGTCTCTATTGAATTTATGAGAATATAGTAAACATATAAATGTGGAAAATGCATCCTTACTTCTTCTACCTTTTTTTTTGTGACGGGATATCTTGGTGATAATTAAACAAGTCCTAGATCTGAAACAAAAAGTTCATGAGAATTGTGCATTCCACTTATTATTTTATTATTTCAGAACTGTTGTTCACTATGTTCTCTCAATTACCAACATATGCATCAAGAGAAAAGTTTAGGTATATTTTCTTACCAAATATCATTATCCTATAGTTAGTTTTCTTTCAAACCCAAGTCCAACACTACAAATTGAATGAAGCTGTTTTGTATCTAGAATTTTGTGTGGGTTCAGTATAAGTTTAACTAGAGACAGGAAGAAGTTCTCTTCTAAGGATCGGGCAAAGCACGGATTTCACAAATACAGTATCAACTTAGTGGAATTGATCAAATGTAACCTTCAACTAGATGCAAACTCACGAGCTTCCAAATTCACTTTTTTTGAACTACAACAACAATAACCTACAGAGTATTATATCCTACTAAGTGGGGTTTGGGGAAGGTAATGTGTATGCAGACCTTAACCCTACCCTGTGAGGATAGAGAGGCTGTTTCCAATAGACCCTCGGCTCAGGAAAGCCTAAGCACCACATTAATAGTGTATTGAACTACAATAGGAACCATATCTTACGACATCACCGTCCATTGCAAGTTTATAAGATTTTCCACCTCTCTAATAAATGTTGTTCGATCTAGAATATCAAACTCACAACTATATGGCTTGATCAATGATTCACTTCATACGATATGGAAAAAATATTTTGCTTTGTCAGCATCTTCGGAGTGATTACATGTATTTAGAACACCCATACAAACTCGCCGAGCCCGGCTTACAGTCAGATTAATAATGCTACACAAAACCTCAAGTTTAATAAGCTTGGTATACATATTCAACTATCAGAGGTTCATCCACAGATGTAGCAACCAAAAAAGGTAAAATCAATATCTTAAAATGTCTTTAAATTCTAAATCCTTGACTCGTATTAAAATCACAATTAAAGATTTCCATAACTTCGTCCTTCTTGCGTGAATTCCTATGGCATCCATGTGTTTTGTCTTTCTAACAAGTTCAATTGCCACAGAATAGGTCAGAGTCCTCGTATGTAGGGCTACTACCTACATATAAAATTTAAATGTTGTGTGTCTAACTAGCTGGTGAAATTTGGCATTATATGTTGGTGTATTTATGTTTGAGTTATTTTCTTAATATACCTAGAAAGTTCACGCTTTCGACAACCAAGAAGGAAGATATTCATAAATAGTTTAGTGAACTCGTTTCCAAGTCAGCTGTATTTCTCTTATCAGTGTTTCCAGTAGTACATTATCATATCATGTATTGGCCATGTTCATCGGTTTGAGTTACTAGCTCCGTGAAACTTTTTTTGAAACATCCTACAGCTCGTAATGTTGTAAGCATTTCATCAAGAACCTCTAAGGATCCTCCAAAACTATCAGAAAAGAAAGTGATATTCTCAAGTTTAGAAACTCTATTAAGGATAGATCTCTTTTCCCGAAAATCTTAGTCAATCTAGGCTCTTGGCCTCTAGAGCCATATTTTCATGCCTAATCTTATCTTGTCTACTCGTTATATAAATATTTCAATTTCACTTTGTATGGATGTAAGTACCTTTTTTGATAGCACTCCCTTGTTGCTTTAGTGATGGACTTGTATTAATTTAATGTACTATATCTATTACAGATGTTAGCAATACGAAATCCACTCATTATGGCAAAATGAACCTCCCATTAGACTTATCTACTACTTCAATCGCATCACATTGCTAGGAGACGATTTTTTTTTAGTGGCGGTATCCTTGAACCTCTAGCTAAATTTTAATCTCAAGTGATTTCTCCGAGCAATCCTAGAATAAAATAACGGTGACACACTCAGTTATTTGACCCTAGTCACCACACACGTAAGGGGAATAAAAAAATAAAGACAAGACACATACTATCATTTCCTCGCAGAATCACGATTATGAGAATAACCGGCTACATAACGATAATTGAGATTCTATTACCGACATGTGCTCCATTAGTCACACGATTAACCTAGGGCTCTGATACCAACTTTGTCACGATCCAATTTAGGATCATGACCGGCGCTTAGGAGCAAGTGCTCCCAAGTAAGCCTCATTGGTAATTTATAAAAAATAGGACAGAGTTTTTCCTCTTTTAGGACCATCCAAAAATAAACCTGGCTTAGAAATCAACAACACAACCAACCTATATCGACCAAACAAGTTATATTCCTCATTCACGAAGCATTTCCAACATAATAATACTAACTTCATCTCCAAGTATACGATAGGAAAGTCTAATACGAGTCACAAGTCTATATCAATAAAAGAATACTTATGACACTGATAAAAATAACTATGGAGCGACTCTAAGAGTTTCAAGAAAGAGACTATAACAAATAAATAACAATCTTTGCCCATGTGAATAAATACGAGGCTTACCAAGACTTGCCAACACGTGTACTCTCGCCTGCGTCTACTGCTCCCTCTGTAAAAATAATAGTGGGGAGTGAGTTACTAGCTCAGTGAGAAACCTTTTTAGTAGGGGACAATTCAGAAAATATGCTTGTATATTAATCACAAAATAAAATGCCCTTTTTAAAATTGTAATAATATTCAGTCTCATCATGTGTTTTCTGTAGCAAAATCAATTTAACAATTCAGTAACAAATTTGGTAAATAATGTGTCACAGAAAGTCTTTATATTTGGGAGGTTTCCAGAAAATGATCATTTAATCTGTATCACCGTGTGAACTCCTTCGTAAAATGAGTCAAATATAACTGTAGGTCACTACTGGAGGGAAAATTTTAACTGTATTCTAGTTTTACCTTTCCACTAGCGAGGGCTATAATTGTACTCGGTAATCGATAAATACAAGGTGTACCAAGTCTAACAAACCCGCCGTTAGCTACATGATCCTTCAAAGTGTCCTCCCATTCATACTTTTCTTTGTAAATAGTAAATCTTCACATGGAAGCAATTTAAAAACAGTACAAGGCATTCAATTTTTATCAAATCATGTAATCCAATTTCGGTAATGGTAATCATATCTTTAGTAATAATAAGACATTTATAGTAACAGTGAGAACGTTTTAAATAATTGTAAACATCTCCAGTAAACAATTAAGTAATATATCAAGTAAAAGACTTGTCCCACATGCAATTTCAAACATTCGGCAATACATTTTATTTTAAAAATAATGTACAAACCATGCAGTTTATGAAAACACAAACTATGGTAAGATTACTAAAGCTTCCAAGATTGAAGTATTTTTTATGGTTTTTGGTTCATATAGCAACTGGTTGGTGGCTTCTCTTTCGGCAGAAGCTTTAGAATACGTGACTCCTTCCCTGAATCCTTTTTCTTTTCTCATTCTAGTGGGCTTTTGCCCATTCTTTTAATCGATTAGGTTTCCCCTTTTTATTGTTTATTTCTTTTCTTATTCTTATTCTTTTTTATTTTTTAAGTTATGCTTAAAGACCAATATACCCTAACTTGAAATGAGATATTACACCTTATGCTCAAGGGTGACACCTAGTGTAACTGGCACATTTAAGCTTAACTCTGCTTACAGTGCTTGCTTATGGGGAAGCGTCTTCCTAAATGAACTTTAAAGGTTATTCTTCTGCATTCTATTATTGACTAAACGCGATCTCAATAATTCTCACAATGTCAACTATTATCGAATCATTTGATCCCTAATTCGTATATTTGTCTTGTTCACTAGCCCATAATAATTTCTATTACCCCGGGGTCTAACTTTTCCTTCTAGTAATCACGTTGGAGTCACCAACTCATTTCTCAAAATGGGGATATGACTTTATGACTTATACTCTTTTATTGCTTCAAGGCATGTCTCCTATTTTCTTTCCCTTCACTTGGCTATAGACTCTGTCATTGTAACGACTCAGCCGGTCATTTTTAGTGTTGTAGCCCCGTTCCCTAGTTACTGCTTATTTTGTGCTTTATAGTTATTATATGACTTACCAGGTTCGTCGGTATGGGTCCGGAGATACTTAGTCTCAGGGTTAGGAACTTAAGTTGGAAAGATTCACCGTATGTTGGCTTATATGTAAATGACTTCGGAATAGAATTTTGATGGTTCTGTTAGCTCCGTTGGTGATTTTGGACTTTGGAGCGTGTCCGAATTGTGATTTTGAGGTCCGTAGTTGAATTAGGCTTGAAGTGGCAAAAGTTGGATTTTCGAAAAATTTGACCGGAAGTGGACTTTTTAATATCAGGGTCAGATTGGAGTTCCAGAAGTTGGAGTAGGTCCGTATTATCATCTGTGACTTGTATGAAAAATTAGAGATCAATCGGACGTGGTTTGATAGGTTTCGGCATCATTTGTAGAAGTTGGAATTTCCTTAGTTTCAATAGGCTTGAATTGGGGTGCGATTTTTGTTTTAATGTTGTTTGATGTAATTTGAAGGCTCGACTAAGTTTGTATTGTGTTTTAAGACTTGTTAGTATGTTTGGTTGAGGTCCCGGGGGTCTCGGGTTGAACCCGGATGGTTAACGGATCAAAAGTTGAATTTGAGAAGTTGTTGAAGTTGGGGTCTGCTAGTGTAATCGCACCCGCAGAGCGTTGATCGTAGGTGTGAGCTCGCAGGTGCAGGGTGAGGTCCGCAGAAGCGGATTTTGAAGTGAGGTGTGCTGGTGGGCGTAGGTGCGAGGGAATTTTCGCACCCGCGTGAGTGCATTCGGCAGGAGGACTGCAGAAGCGGAATAGGGCAGTGGAGCTGGGTTCTACAGAAGCGGCTTGGTTGCTCACAGAGGCGAGCCCCCAGAAGCGGAAGTTGGGGCTGCAGGTGTGGAGGAAACCGCAGAAGCAAGCATTTTGTCGCTCCTGCGAAGCCGCAGAAGTGGGTAATTTTCCACAAAAGCGGAAGTGCTGGGTAGAACATATAAACACAAGGGTTCCGTGTTTTTCTTCATTTTGAACATTTTGAACTCGGGCTTTGGCGATTCTTGAGAGGATTTTCGAGGGGATTCTTGAGGTAAGTCCCTTGTGCTTATTTTTATTCAACAATCTTGTTTCCCTATTGATTTTCCCTACTAGATTGTGTGGTTTTGAGGTGAAACTTGGGGGTTTGAGGCAAGGGATTTGGAGAGTTTGATTTGGGAATTTGAGTGGCAATCTGGTGTCGGATTTTGATAAAAATTTTATGGTTGGACTCGTAGTTGAATGGACTTTCGGGTTTTTTGATTTTTGTCGGATTTCGAGATGTGGGCCCAGGGGCCGACTTTGAGCGGATTTCAAATTTTTGATTAATAACTTTGTATTTTCTTGTGGAATTGATTCCTTTAGGCCATATTGATTGTATCGTACTGCTTGTGGCTAGATTCAGGACATTTGGAGACCGATTTGCGAGACAAAGGTGTGTTGGAGTAGAGTTTTGCTCGGATTGAGGTAAGTAACACTTCTAAACTTGACTCTTAGGGTTCGAAACCTCGAATTGTGTGTTATGTGGTTGGTGTTAAGCTGACGCACATGCCAAGTGATGGGCGTATAGGCGTGCACCGTGGGAGCTGTGACCGGATTGATTCCATTGAACTGTATAGTGGATTTATCTTGTTGATATTCGTGTTTTCATCATGTGATATAGTAATTGAGCTGTCAATCATGCTAGAGATCATGTTTAGGCTATATGCTGGTTTTGTTGGGAACCATAGTGGTCTTTTCTTGCTATTGACTTATTGATTTCATTGAAATTTCATATTCAGTCATATTCATTCATTACATATCATCTCAGGCTCGGTTGTAATTTATTGATACATCATATTATCATTTTTGGGCTAGTTTTATGACATTATGAGCCCGTGAGAGAGAGACATGAGAGATTGATGACTGAGTGAAGCCTAGGGCCTGATTATGAGTGACATTTATGGGATCGAGCTGTACGCCGCAGCGGGTTTTATTGAATTATGATAGCGTTTGCGCTGAAGGAGGCACTCCAGAGTTTGTACACACCCCCAGTGAGCGCGGTTGATTTATATTAACCGATGGATCTTCCCTGGATATGGATCTTGTCCGAAGCATTTATACTTGTGGATGGATCTTCCCCAAGGGCTAAATTGGCCAAATACAGTATTGAGTGATTGAGCATTTCGAGAGTGTGAGCACATGAGGCTGTCAGCATGGTGCATCATATACAGCATGTTCATTGGCACGTAGAGGTAGAGAAGTTATATTCTTTATGTCATTCAGATTTGATCTATCTTACTGATATTGAGTTTAACTGTTGAACTTGAAAGCATGCATACGTTTCTGCACTGTTATTTCTATAAAGAATTGTATCGGTTGGGTTCGTCTCTACTTTCAATCCAAAGGTTAGATTTGTTCTTATATAGTTGGTTGTACTCACGCTACACCATGCACCTCGTGTGCAAATCCAGGTGCTTCCAGACACGGCGACTGCTGAGTTGTTGAGTCAGGATCATCGGAGGTTATCGAGGTAGCAGCATAGCGTTTGCAGACCTTGACTCCTCATTATCTTCATTTATATTTCAGTTTTTATTCCCTAGACGTTGTAGTAGACTATATTCCTGTATAGATGCCAATGTACTTGGTAACACCCCGATTTTGAGAGAGATTTTGTATTGAGTTGCGTTTTTAAAAGGTTTTCCTTAAATATTAACTGCTTTTGTATTTTTTCAAAGCTTTGTTATGTCGAAATGATTGAGTAGTGGCTTGCCTAGTTCCACGATAGGCGCCATCTTGACGGTTTGGTTTTGGGCCGTAACAAGTTGGTATTAGAGCCTAGGTTGAATTGGTCTCACGATTCATGAGCATGTTTAGTAGAGTCTTGTGGATCGGTACGGAGACGTCTGTACTTATCTTTGAGAGGATGCCGAACCCTTAGAAAACTTCAAATTCTTGTATTCTTGTCCTGTGGAATTTGTTAATTCCGGTAACTAAACAATCGGTTATTCTATTCTCTCTCAGATGGTGAGGACACATGCTACCAGACAGGATGGACAACCACCAGTACCACCAGTTTGGGCCGCGAGAGGCCGAGGTTGCGGTAGTGCTCGTGGTAGGGGCAGAGGTGCAACTTGTACAACAACTAAGGAAGCACCTACAAATCCACCAGTCGCTCCAGCTCAGGAGCAGGTACCAAATGTTGTTGAGCCAGTGGGGCTAGCTCAGGCATCAGCTGTGCCCATTGTGATTCTCAGGCCTTCAGGAGGCATTGGCTCAGATTCTGACCGTTTGCACTAGTCTTGCTCAGGCGGTCTCAGTTTCGGCCGCAATAGCCACTTCTAAGGTCGGGGAGGTGCTCAAACTCCCGTCGCCTGTACACCAGAGCAGGTGATGCAGGGACTCCAAACACCGGGGGCACTACTGGCCCAGCCGGTTGCAGCTTCTCAGGCCCATAAGGTTCCTATTATGACTGATGATGAGCAGTAGAGACTAGAGAGGTTTGGGAGGCTCCAACCTCCATCTCTCAATGAGGCAGAATCGGAGGATGCCTAGGGTTTCTTGGACAAGTGTCAGCGGATTCTCCGTACATCAGATATTCTGGAGACTAGTGGGGTCTCATTCACTACTTTTCAATTTTCCGGGGTTGCCTTCAGATGGTGGGAAGCTTATGAGAGGCATAGGCCGGTCGGTGCAGCACCTCTTACCTGGCAGGAGTTCTCCGTTCTCTTCTTGGAGATGTTGGTGCCGCAGTCTCGAAAAGAGGAGCTGTGTCACGACCCAAAATCCACTAATCGTGATGGAACCTAACCCAACCCGCTAGGTATGCCAACTAATAATTATCCAATTCCAATAATATTAACAAGACAATTGACAAAAGGAATTTTCCGAATCTTATACTTTTCCCAAGGACTGGTAGTACAAATCATGATCTTCTAAGAATAGAGTTTACAAAGCTGATATGACCTAAATACACCTTCTGTTTGAAAAATACATAAACAGAGTTTTAAAATTTAAGGCTACCATAAACAAGAGACAGCTACAACAGGGACACAGGTACATCTTCCAATCCAGCTCCCATCGAACACAGTACCACCGACATCCGGAATCTGCACACAATGTGCAGGAAATGTAGTATGAGTACAATTGACCCCATGTACTCAATAAGTAACAAACCAAACCTTAGGTTGAAAGTACAGACGAGCTGGAACACGGTCGGGTCCAATACCAACAGCCAACAACAATTCATAACAATATAAAGCTTATAAATAAGGAAGCAACTCAGAAACAAAATGCTCAGCTTTTTCACAATTTTTCCGAAAATAGTTTCGCTTTTCAAGAATAACAGTGAAAACCCAAATCCTTTACCGAAAAAATCGAAAGACATGAGATAGTTTAAAAACTATAATTTTTCAAAAAATCCTTTTCACAAAATATAAGATGTTTCATTTTCTTTCCAGATAGCAAGTGTGGAATACCTCTCTACGCCCATATATCAATGCGTGTAAAAAGTAAGGAATGACGTGAATCCGTAAAGCATGATCCTTATGTGTGACGACCCAAAGGGGTCATCACCTGTATTCCTACTCCATCTGTACTTCTGAGGCCCTGAAAACCTCACTTGGGGGTTGCCTCGACTTGTGTGCGCAGTCCGGGCACGTAACCGGAAAGTTAAAATATGAAATTTGTTAGAAAAATTGTTAAATCTTGGTATTTAATTGATTAAGTTTGACTTCGGTCAACGTTTTGGGCAAACGGACCCGGACCCGTGATTTCGCGGTCCCGGAGGTCCGTAGGAAAATATGGGACTTGGGCGTATGCCCGGAATCAAATTCCGAGGTCCCAAGCCCGAGAAATGAATTTTTGTGTGAAATTGTTTTCTGGAAATAAATAAGGAAGTTGGAAATGAGATTTGATTAAAAAGACTGTGGTATCGGGCTCGTATTTTGGTTCCGACGCCCGGTACAAGTCTTATCTACGGCTTAAGTACTTTCTGTAAATTTTGGTTGAATTTGGACGTCGTTTGACGTGTTTTGGACTAAAAACTCTAAACTTGATGTTTTATGAAAATTGGAAGGAAATCCTGGGTCTTGAGGCCTAATTTGATGATTATGATGTTGTTTGAGCGATTTGATCGCACAGATGAGTCCGTAGGATGTTTTGAGTTTATACGTATGTTCGGTTTGGAGCCCCAAGGGCTCGGGTGAGTTTTGAGTAGGTCCCGGGAGGTCTTAGGCTAGAAATATCAGATGGTTGCAGGTTCAGGTGTTGCAGGCCCCCAGCGCGGCCGCGGTCATTTCCGCGCGGTCCGCGCTGGAAGCCGCGCGTCCGCGGTGCACTTCTGTGCGGTTCGCGTGGCTAGGTTCAGAGGGCCAGTGCATTCTAGGTCAACCAGCATGGCCGTGCACCAAATCAGTGCGGTCCGCGCTGGGAGATTCAGAGAGTGGGTCTTGGGTCCATCCAACCAGCGCGGCCGCGCACCAAATCAGTGCGGTCCGCGCTGGGTAGGTTCAGAGAGTCATTTTTCTTTCCTTCCTCGGCGCGGCCGCGGTGCATTTTTGCGCGGTCCGCGCCAGTCTTCAGCACAGTATATAAAGTCGGGATTTTCAGTCATTTTTCACTTTTTCAAAACCCAAAACATAAGAGGCGATTTTCCAAACGATTCTACTTCTTCAAAACGATTGGTAAGTGATTTCTAACTCATTTTCTTTACTCCTTAACATCTTTAAACATAATTTCAATTTCAAAACAAAAATGGAGAAATTTGGGAATTTAGGGTAGAACCTAGGTTTTCTAAATTTGGGGGTTTTTGGACCTCAATTCGAGGTCCGATTCCAAAATAACTTACATATTTGAGTTCATGGGGGGATGGGTAATCGGGTTTTGGTTCGAACCTCGGGTTTTGACCATGTGGACCCGGGGGCATTTTTGACCTTTTGGGTAAATTGATGAAAAAACTATAATTAGTCACTGGGTTTGAATTGTTGAGCACATATTGATAACATGAAGTCCT